AAATTTTCTCCTTCTGGGTATAAGATTAAGTTTTTGTTTCATCGATCATCACAATCACACTCGGGCACATGACGGTCGTACTTTGGGTGAATGTAGTTGATCAGGCTACATTTACCCCCATTACGACTTCATAACTGTCCGAGCACAATCGAAAACGTTCGAATCCTCCAAAGACTTTTAAATGTTGTTATATTGTTGTTTTTAATATAAGCACATAAGTATGAAATTTTATTTTTGTTCAGAGTTATTTATTCCCATTAAGTTTATAGTTGCATATCATGTATGGTTAGATATGCTAGTTCACTATAAACAAAGCTCTGATACCAACCTGTCACACCCCCGAACCAGACGGCGGAAACGTCCGAGGGCTCGTGTGACTTAAATTGAAATATCATCACAATGAATATACATGAAACATAACATAAACATCACCATGCATTAATACATTACAACTGACCTTGTTCACATCAAGTACATTGTTTACATTACAACATCACAGAACATAAATTGTTTAACGATTGACATTGCACAAAAGAAATTTCAGAAACACGCTTGATGATTCTTCATTCTAACGGTTACCTGATAATACAAGTTATTTTGAAAACGGTCAACATATATAATGTTGGTGAGTTCATAAGCATGTTTGATATAAAAATAGTTTGTATTGTTTGTAAAACCCAGAAAATCCGATAAGTGTATATGTATGTGATTTCAAAACATGTAAAAGTGAATGCCTTTCATAATTGTTCCTTGTATTGTAGTTGTTGTATGTAGAAGTGAATAATGTCGTTCCCCGGAAAACCCGATGTTTCCAATTTAAATAGTATGATAGTTTTGTATTATTGTATAAATCACATAGTGTATGAATATGATTTCCCATGGGTACTTAGATGGTAATGAATCTCTATGTGAGTCGTTATAACCATGCATAATAGTGACTAATTCGCCTGTCTTGGCATTTTTCCAAACGCTGGTTTTGATCAACATTTGGTCACCCTAGACTGGCCGAGTCTAACTGTAGCGAACAGCTCAGGTGTGGGGGAGTCACCCTCGTATAGATCTATACACAAACTCTCGCTCTCCCTCCAGGAGACTCTGATTATAACTACAAGCTACGACCGACACTTATTGGTGCCACCCGTTATTTCTCACTAAATCCTAATGAAATTGAATAACATTGTTTTACAACCCGATTGATGTTTACGTGAATATGAAGTAAGCCTAACAGAAACGAAAGAGGGCAACGGTGGCCCACTAATCATGTATGTTATTATAGGCTGTCGAGTATGCTACGGACACGTTATAGCCCATTGAGCATATGATAAATGTTTAGGGCCATATTAGCAATGCAAATGGGCCAATAAGGCCCAATAGCATGTTTAAGCTGATGAAGGCCCATTGGGCATGTAATTGGGTCACCAAGGCCCAATAAACATGTTTTGATTATATTGGGCCCAATAATCGTATAATTGGGTCACGAAAGCCCAATAAGAACGAATAGGAAATATTGGGCCCAACCATTGAATCGTTTATCTGTTTGTCGTTATAAGTTGTAGTATGAGATTTGGTTTACACTTAGTGTTTACTTTTGATGTTAAAATACTCAATGCTGGTTTATAACGATATTCTTAGTTTTTATAAAAATACCATTTTAAAACCTTCATGTTGTAAAAATTTATATCTTTGATCAAATTGTTTAGAAATTTACATATTTGGCCCAAAATGTTTATTTGACTATTTCAGTCCCCTTTTCATACAAAATTTACATTTTCAGCCCTTAATGGCTCAAAATGACACTTTTAGTCCTTTTTGATAAAAAAATGACATTTTAGTCCATTAGATTATTTAACTTGGCATTTTCGGCCCAAATAAAATCTTAAATTATAATTTCAGCCCAAAATACAGCTTTTGACATTTCCAGCCCTTATTTGCTAAAAATTTACATTTTTAGCCCATTTGCCGTAAGATTTACACTTTTGGCCCAAAATCTAAAAACTTTGCATTATTAGTCCAATTTAGAAAAAAAGTCATTTTCAACCCCTGAATTTAATTTATTCACGTTTATGATTTATACTTTGATAAATTTACAATTTCAGCCCCAAGTCTCATCCTTTTTGCAAATTTGGGCCCAAAAACCGTTGGGGCCCAAATATAAGCCCAATAAACAAAAATTTATGTTTTTGGTCCCTTGAGAAACATTATTTCCATAAAAATCATATTTTATATAGATATATACCATATTATCCTTGTAAAAAACGAAAATGTGATCTTTTAATCAAATCTTTGTTATTTTGCAAAAATGACACTTATAAAAATCTTTGGCCTTGTTTTTCACTTTTTGAACATAAAGACTCTTATATCTTTGAAGTATGTTGTTTATTATGTTTTTGTTTATGTATCCTTCACACTTTAGCCATAGATCTCGAGATATAACAAATAATATCACATTTTCACAACACAAACCAAAGAAATCACATATAACATGCAAACACACATAGATCAACACACAACACTTGTATTCTTCCCCCAAAAACAAGGGGGTATGAACTCACCTTGGGTTTGAAGTTTCGGTTTTTGGTGATGATGTGAGGAGATTCAGCCTTAACAAGCTTCTTGAGGGAAATTTCGAACTTAGATGAGTTCTAAGAAGCATGATTCATGATTTAAAGAGTAAATGAGTGCTAGTTTTAACAAAACATGATATTAGAATTTTTGGTTAGAAGTATCTTACCAAAGAGATGGATTTTTGATGAAGTCCTCTTGGAACACAAACAACCCACGTGATTTTGAGGATAAGAGAGAGTTTTCAAGATGATTTTGAGAGTGTTTGTAAAAATATGAAGGTGGTGGTGTGGGTTTGAGATTCTCGGCCTTAGTTAAAGGAGAAGGAAGAGAGAAGATCAAAGGGGTTAACGCATGATGGTTAAGGATGATTTTGCTTTGATACATGTGAGTCCCTTTGCCTAGAATACCACAAAGCAAAGGTGAGGTGTCAAGAGCTCACATTATCTTGTTTTAAATTTCTCTCTTCCTTTTTTTTATATAATAGTTGGGCCGAGAAAGGCTAAGAAGAGAAGAAAGGATGGGTAGCTTGGGCCTTACTTGCTTGGTCATGATCCCATGTGGCCCAATTAATTAGCTCTCGGCCCATTAGGCCCCTTTGGATATTCACGGCCCATTAGAACCAAATAAATGGAGTTTATGGCCCATTAGGGCAATTCGAGTTATTATGGCCCAACATGGCCCATTAGGGATAACATGAGCCATTTTAAGTCCACATGCTAGTGTATATAGACGTCTTGTTGGTAGACTTTTATATCTTCAGGCAACTAGAACTGACATTACTTATGTCGTAATGTTATTAGTCAATTTGTCTCGGACCCTAGACAAAACCATTGGGATGCTGCTATGCGAGTGCTTCGTTATCTCAAGACTACGTTGGGACAAGGTGTGTTACTGCCAAAGACCGAGAACGTTGAGTTGATAGCATATAGTGATTCAGATTGGTTGGGTTGTCCCTTTTAACAAAGGTCGCGGACGGGGTACATATTGCTTTTGGGTGGTGCACCAAGTTCTTGGAAATCCAAGAAACAATCAGTTGTTTCTCGGTCCTCAGCTGAAGCCGAGTATCATGCAATGGCTACTACTGTGAGTGAAATTCTTTAGACTCGTTGGTTGTTGGCAGAAATTTGATGTTGAATTTCATGCACCAACACCACTTTTGTGTGACAATGAGTCAGCCCGTAACATTGCTCACAATCCGGTGTTCCATGAGCGCACCAAGCATGTTGAAATGGACTGTTATTTTGTAAGAGAACGTGTTTTGTCAAAAGAGATTGTTCATGTCAAGATAAGCATTCAAGACCAATTGGTTGATTTTCTCTCTAAGCCATTTGGTTCAGACCGTCTGCAGTTGTTGTCGGACAAGCTGGGCTTTCGGAATTTTCATGCTCCCGCTTGAGGGGGAGTAAAGGAATCTAGATTATTCCAGTGGACGGATAATCACAGATATATTATATTAATCTCTTTGTATTTATCTAGTTTTTTGTTTTGTTATCTTTTGCTGAATCTCAGGATATATATATATATATATATATAATATATATATATATATATATATATATATATATCCTATTTTTCCTTGTATTCAGAGGATTTTATTACGTATTGAATAAAAAAACAAAACAGTGCATGAACTCACAGTTAGATCTTTTATATGTCATGCCACCATATATAGACAGAGACACATCATGCTACGTAAGTTGTTAACTTAGTTGACCGGTCAAATAGTCAAATTAAAAAATTAGTGACTAAATTATAAAAATAATAATAACAGTCAAAATTGAATTTTTATGAAAATATAGTGACTTTTTGTGCAATTTACCTATAAAAAACAAATTGTACAAAAAGAAGTAAAATGAACAAATAAGAACGGATTTAAGCCTTCTGTTACCAAATTGAATTCCCAATAATCTCACTTGAAAATAAGAACCCCGATTCCCAGTCTTATTTTGTTGTACCCTCAGTCTTATCTTTTTTTTTAGCTTATAGCGTATTAACTTATAGTGGTGTGAGAAAACAACTTTTGCAAAAGTGTTTGGATTAGAACTAAGCTATAAGCTTTAATCAAGCGGGAAAGATTTTCAAATGTAGTTTATTTAGCTTCTCCCCACCACAATAATTTTAATGTTTTATATTCAAACACTTAAACTTAGCTTATAGCGGTGTGGATAAGCAATAAACTGTATGCTCTCTCTTTTTTTTCCTATCCAAACACCCTCTTAATTATGATGCGTCTCTGATGAGCGAAAGTAATGGAGCATTAGTGAAAGATCAATTTCGTTTTCCGAAAGGTTTCTTAAATGTCGAGTTTCTCGTCTGCGACAATCCAATCACTGTTACGGCCGCAATGGTTTTCATTCGTATCGTATTGTTTTAAATCGATCATCACAACACTTCCATTGTGTTTTCATCGCCCGTAGAGAAGAATCAGAGTGGTGATGGTCACGAGGGGGAAAGGAGAATGGGTGGGGCTACGACGAGGCAACGATGTGTGTGATCTTGAACCCACCTCTCCTTTCTTCTCCGTTAGTGGGAATCTCATTCGAGACATTGGTGATGGCCGTAGTGAAGGGAGGGGGAAGCAAGGTTTTTGGAGAGAAGCGGCTGTGAAGGGAGTGGCGACAAATTAAATAAGCTACTTGACGCTTATTGCATATTTCCATTAAAAATTATATTACATTGCCCTGTAGAAGCAAGTAAGTTGCCCAATTTCCATTCTTTTTCTTCCCTTTAAGCTAATAATCTTATCCTGTTCTTTGACCTAGCAAGTGGCTTTTGTTTCTCCACCTATTCCCATAGACTTTTTGTAGAAACCGACAACGTTCACATAACCAGTGCTAGAACCATATCTTCTTAACTTATACTGTCAAGGTTGTTCAATTCATCTCATCAAAGTTTCTTTTCAATTTCACTACAAAAAAGGTTTTATATTAATATAGGATCCTTCGATCATAACTTCAATGGCATCTTCTTCAACTAATTCATCCATTCCTAGGAGCTTTAAATGTGATGTGTTTCTGAGTTTTAAGGTGAAGACACTCGCACCAACTTCACCGATCATCTTTATTCTGCTCTTCAATTGAAAAGCATTCACACTTATAAGGACGATGAGAGAATTAAGAAAGGGAAAAGGATCAATGATGAGCTCATCAGATCCATTGAAGACTCAAGATTCTACATTATTGTTTTCTTAAAGAACTATGCATCTTCGTCTTGGTGTTTGGATGAGCTTGTGAAGATAATAGAGTGTCACAAGCAGAGCGGACATATTTCTTACCCTGTCTTCTATAATGTGGTACCCTCTGAAGTCCGCAATCGAAGTGGGGCAATTGGAGAAGCGTTTTCCAAACATGAAAAGGAAGAGGCTGCTGGAAAATGGAGAGAAGCTATGAAAGAAGCAGCCGATCTAGCCGGGTGGGAACTGAAGAAAACTGATGATGGGTAATTCCTTCATCGTATCTCTGTAATATTTTTTATTGTGTTTTTTTCCTCTAAACTACATTTTAAACGATTATCCATGGCCTCTCATGTTGCACTGTGAAATTAACTCAAACTTTAGTCTTATTGAAAAAAGTAAACATGAAACATGATTATATGACTGTTATTACTTCATATATGTTATAAATCTGAAAGTTAACGTTCATGTCAGATACTGATTAAGTTAATTGAGTGTTATTTAAAGCACATGCATGAAGCTAAGTTCATCAAAATAATCGTGGAAGAGGTTTCACTATAGTTACGTTCCGTCAATTTCCGCATTGATGAAAAGTTAGTAGGCATGGAGACCCAGATCAATGATATTGTATCATGTTTAGAAACTGCTTCTGATGATGTTTGCATGATCGAGATCTGGGGGATAGGAGGTGGTGGGAAGACAACTTTGGACAGAGCCATTTTTGATTAAATATCCTTTCAAGGGAAAAGTTTTGTTGAGAATGTCAGATAAGTTTCAAGCAAGCCTTTGTCCGGTTTAAAGTCGTTGCAAAAGCAAGTTCTTTCATACATCTTACACGATCAAGGCATCAACATAAGCAGTGTTTCCCAAAGGGAAAAACATGATGTGGAGGATGATGCGTGCTAGAAAGGTTATTCTTGTTCTAGATGATGTGGATCGTATGGACCAGCTTGAGGCGTTGGCTGGTGAGCGTAATTGGTTTAAATCAGGAAGTACAATTTGTTGGTAATCAGCCCTTCCTTTAACCCACCTGCAACTATCGACTCTCATGTGATTTACACAACAACCATGAAATATGGACTTCTTCTCACTGCTATATTTTACTTTCAAAAGAAAAACTGATTACATTCTAAAACAAGTGACAACCTAACCTATTTATTGACTATTGTACCTATAAAATAAGTACACATCCTACCAGAAACGTTAGTATACATGTGACTGAATAATCTCCATAATACCTGGTCTATTCCCATGCAAATCGGTCAAGGAAATGACCCATTCCTTCTTATTCGACTCAATCTTCAGCATCAAGATTATACCCAACAATAACCCCCCTAATCTTGATACTCATGACCTTTCTTTTCATGCTATAATCTTGCTTAGTCTTCTTGATGTCTCATGACTCTTGCTTATAGCATTTTGTTTCATGTTTGCTACTTTCTACAAACCCTAAACTCTCTTCTCGATAGGATTGTCTTGCCTGCTACTTGCTCCAGACTATGCGACAACCCTTCTTGCTTGGGTCTTACTTCTTTTCTTTCTTCCTCGATCACTTTTGATCGCTCCTACGGCATGCTTCTTCTTTCTTTCTTGCTGACATACAACACCCTTCTACTCCTGCTACTTTCTTTTGATCAACAGGAGTAACCAACCTTGCTACTTGCTTAGTTGCTTTCATTCTTTATTTTGATCACCAAATTAATGTGATCGGACCTGCTGCTTGCATTCTTGCTGCTTACTTTCTTCCTCTCTACCTGCTTGCTATCTTCGGGATCACACCATCACAGCCGGACTGTCAACACCACTGTGAGCCATTAACTCCACAGCAGAGCCGGAACACACCACAGCCAAGACCACCCTGATTTGATCCTCCTTTCTGTTGTATTTGGTGTCTAAGCCCATAACTATAACTGGGATGTACTTGACCCGATTGTAGCATGATCCTTTTGGGTTGCCTTCACCGGTGCAATTTGATAGGATGGACTTTTGAGAATAAGGTTATTTATGGTTTATTAATATATTACAAGTATAATATATTAATATAAAATCATATTATTTAATTATTATTGATCAAAAATTAATTTGGAATTAATTTTGTGGTCAAAAGAGACTAATTAAATATATGGGGATTAATTGTGTAAATCAATGATTCTTATAGTGTGGGCTAATGATCCATGATTATTTAGATGGGCTAAACCAATGAGATAATCCATGGAGGTTAACCCATGGAGCTAAGTAATATGAAAGGTCATTAGGGTTTACAAAGTGTAACCCTAGCATTTGCTACACTACAAATAAACCCCCTTAGAGCCAAAATCGGTTACATGAGTGGCTACATTCATTCTAAGAGAGTGAAGTTGATTTTGTGCTAAGTAACCTATTCTCTCAAGCCTCCTCTTTCATATTGGTGTTTGTGAACCATTAGAGGCATCACACTTGAGGTGCTCAAGCTTTCAAAGGTCAAGAACTACAAGTCCTTCTAAGAGGTAAGCCATCTAACTAGTTGTATTGTTCATTTGGCAATTTGTATGCTAGTTAGGACAATGCTTTGGAAAATAAAAATATGCATGTATAATTAGAGAAAAAATAGATCCAAAGCATTTAGGGTTGCATGTGCACCATAGGAGTGTTATAGTGCTCAAAACCCAACAGTGGTATCGGAGCCTAGGATTGTTTTCTATTATATTTGATGCTTATTTTTTTCAAAGTTGAAAAAAAATCGATTTTATGCATTCTGACTGGTGAACTCGCCGAGTCCACTGGCTGACTCGACGAGTCCACTCAGAAACTGACCAACTCGACGAGTCCAGTTCATGAACTCGCCGAGTTGGTGCTCCTGTGTGCAGAATTTCGAGTTATTGGCCAAAATTGGATTAGGATCATCACCCCAAACTGTTTTTTGAACCATGAAATATGTTTTTTGATATGGTAATGATCATGCTTATCCAATTAAAAGATAATTGTCAGAATTTCAATATTTGTATTAGTTTATATGATTAGGCTAATTTCTTGAAGATTGTTGATATGCATTATCTTGTTCTTATGAGTTTAACTAGATTATGGATGAATTATTTGATTATTGTGTTAAATAAAATAATGATCTAAATGCCTTTAATTGACTCCATAACTTGTCTTCAAGTTATGGAAAATGAAAAGTCTCATACATTAAAATGACATTAAACTCATAAGTTATGGAATTGAAAGGACAATTGCCAAATATTAAGATAATAGGTTAATTATTTGTATTATTTGATATGAATTCCCTTACTATATGAGTTAGATTAGATCAATAGAATATTATATGATAATTTTCCTTGTTAGAATTGATCTAAATGTTCTTTAATGGGTTCCATAACTTGTCCTCAAGTTATGGAACATGAAAAGTCTTATCATAAATGTTTTAATGAACTCCATAATTTGTCCTCAAGTTATGGAAAATCAAGAGTCTATTCATAAAAATAACATTAAACTCATAAGTTATAGAATTGAAGAGTTTTGACAAGTTTCAAAACTTGCCCTCATGTTTTGGAATTTGTAAAGTCTCACTAATGAAACTTTAATTCCAAATTCTAGAGTTTTAAAAGTTAAAATTCAACCCTTATACTTTATAATATTATAAGTTTAATAATATATATATATATATATATATATATATTATATATATATATATATATATATATATATATATATGTATAAGAGGGAGGAGAGAGGAGGCACCAAAAACGGCTGGAAACCCTAAAGGAAGTGTTCACCACGTTTTTGGGGCTTAAGGGTCCTTTATATACATGTAGGCTATTAGGGTTTACAACTAGGAAACCCTAATCTGGCTGCTTAGGCCCTAAGCAGCCCATGGACTCCTTTAACATATCCCTTGGACGATTTCTAATGGGCTTCCCATAGAATTCGTCCAACCTATATATTATTAGGTGATCCATAGCCCAATTGTAATTATCTTATAATTAAAATCCAGTCCCCTAAGTTTAATTAATCTCTTTTAGCCACAAAATTAATTCTCAATTAATTATTGACTAATATCAATTAAACATTATGATTTCTCCTTTAATATATTATTCTTATAATATATTAATAAATCATAATTAAACCTTTCTCTCCTTAATTTATCCTACATATTGTTATGGTGAAGGCAACCCAAAAGGACCATGCTCATAATCGGGTCAAGTACATACCAAAATAGTTATGGACTTAGACACTAATCCAACAGTCTCCTACTTGGATAAGTCTAATGACTATTTTGCATAACTTCAGAACCTGATCAGCAATCGTAGCTTTCAAAAGTCGCTGTCAACTCTGATCTTATCAGATACGCGTGTCCTTTAGATAAGGGATTATATATTCCTCCATTCTACAAGATATCGTATAGATATGAGACATGGATTTAAATCATTCTCTCTGTCTATGTATTGTTTCCCGACATCTGATTTATGACGACTGACAACAGACTACAATTGAACACATCAACTTAGTCCCGACTTGGCCAAGCGCTTAGGGTCATCACTAAATCATCAAGGGGCCCACAGATATCGCTTTCATCCCACTTTGGGTAAAAGGAATGGATAAACTTCGACTCAAATGCTTGCTTGCACCTACTAATCGGATCACACACAATAATAAGTTTTATAACACCAAGTTACTGGTGCGTTTACTTATCATCAATATGCAACCGATCAGCAAGTAACAACTCACACGTCTTGGTTTCAAGAATATACAATGTTATCATCTCACTAATCACCCGTGATAAATCCATGAAGTGATTCAAGTGAGCGTGGGTTTAATCCAATACTTTAATCTTATCAAAGCACTCATGAACTCTGCAGCAAACTTGTGCTATGTCTAAATACTTAGACAATCTACAGACAGATTCATGACAGTCTTCCTTCATACCTACTTCCAACGTATGACCGACTGTGGAGGTTCGAATAACCCAGTTATTCTGGAAGTCAAAACATGCAAAATGAAACACAACGATAATACTTAATCCTATATGGCCCCAAAACTTTTGAGCGTAAATAAAAACACTTTTATTTAAACACCATATTGATTACTCATTATTCATTGCTTACTGTTTCAGAAAATCAACTTATTACTTGAATTATAACCACAATTGTCCCATGCTCCAAGCATGCACACTTTGGTTTCCTATGGTCCATACTTTGTGAAATAGATCAATTGAAAAACTTTTCCAATGAAGTTCATTTCACAATCCCCAATCCTTATTATTAGTATAAGAATACCAAATTCTTGCCACTTTTAGAATATGTCAGATTCTAACATTTTATGCAATGATTCTTTCGTAATGTCACAGCACGAAAGTCACCAAGACCCGGCTAATGAAATTACAAGGTATTCTTATCGGAAATTGTTACAAGACAATTCCATAGACGTGAAGTCTCACATTCAAAGTACATTCCTTTAAACATTCTTCTCGCATAAAAGTTTCTAATCTAGACATATTTCTTAATATCCAACTCCCACTAATGGAAACATTTCCATATTTGCTATATGACAACTCATTCTTAATAGAATCTTATCTATTCATAATAATGTCAATATAGTCCATCCAGTACTATACTTCCAACTACTCACAAGCGACAAATCCTCAGTGAACCTCAGATCGTCCTTTGATAGTTGTTTAATTATTTTAGTCAAAACCGATTCTAGTCCTTTTTCCCTCTTAATGCCCTAGGCATTTGGAAAATTTTAGAATGCCCTAGGCATTTGGAAAATTTTAGAATGGTCAAATATTATAGCATATGCAATCGATCCTATACCCGAAGCGTATTGGACACGATGCATGATGTCTCACATAAAGACGTGATACTTTATCAGCCTTCTGCCATAATATTGTATGTGCCCTGTTCCCATAATTCGAACTATGAAGAGGGATGTCGTAATCATAATCAAATTTTGAGAATGCACTATGTATTCTTGACTAAATTTATTAACATTTCTCGATCTAAGCTTTTAGATTTTAAAACGAAGTATAATATTCTCTCCCTTAATTATAGCAAAACAACTTTTCAACCCTTGCGACTTTGCAAAGTATAACTCTTGTTTTCTATAATTAATATCGCTAACTTGCAATACTTACCATAATAATCATGCTCCCACTATCATGATGATTATTTTCTTACCAGCATAACACTTATGCTCCCACTAGCTTTGACAGGTATTCAGAAAACAGCTGAACTTCCAGAGAACAATGCTTATTGAATTCCTTAAGTTCATATTTCTAATACTTGATGCTTTGATAAGCCTTTATCTAAGCTTCTTAAACTCATACACCTTTGCCTTAGAAAGCTCATATGTGTGTCTAGACAAATTCAGAACTTATGTTACTAAGTCCCAAATGTTCAGACTAATTGCCAAATCTCACAATTCGAACTATGAAGAGGGATGCCGTAATCATAATCGAATTTGAGAATACAATTTTCACAATTGCTATCTTCTTAAAATCTCTCTTAGTGAAAGCATTTCCTCACAATCATTTTCATGAAGGAGGGAAACCTCATGACACTTAGATTTTAAAGTGTATGTGTTCCTATCCATGTGAATTTGTCAAAACCAAAGTTTGCGACAAATCCAAAAACATATGGACTGAACTTTCTCAATCTTGATTTCTTGTCTCATGGTACACGAGTGCCCACCATGTCTTCCAAGTAGTTTAGCAACTTATCCTTACATATCAATGTACTTTCCATTGATCAAGATGCTTTGTTTTTATGCATACAGATGAGAACTCATAGACCTCAGAAGCATAACTAACTTAACTGGAATAGCGCAGAAAACAAAATTTTCATCCACGATAGGTTACAAACCTCAAGTCGTGCGCTAGTGATGATCA